AGATAGTGAAGTTGTTAGGACAAAGAAAAAAAAACTGCTCTGAGGAATTGGTTTATACAGCAGCTTTTTGACACGTTCTGTGCTGCGAATTGCAGAGCACCAGGCACTCCTAAGGGAATCCTCGGGCTGTGGAAGGTTGTAAGCACAACCCCTCGCAGTTAAGCCCAAAACAAGCATTTCTGTGTTCTCCGTTAATCACCAGCCCAATTAGCACCTTGGTTAAAATGCTGAGAGTTCCAGTCGTCCTCCCATCAGAGCTGGGATTGTTCTAGTGAAACTCTCACTGTGCCTATACAGCGCTCTGTTCACAACACTTTCGATTCTCCTGGAGCAGCGTGATAAGTCTGTTAACTCATTAACACCTCCAGCTTACAGGAGACTTGGCTTCCAGCCCCAGGCTCCACACTCCGGGAAGTTTTTCTGTAGTTTCGGTTTCTTTTCCTGCTGAGCCGGGCTGGCTGGCAGCTCCCACCATGAAGCTCCTGAAGGCTGCTGTAATCTTTGTTCTTGTGCCCACTCTGACGCCGGCTTTTGACCCTCTCAGCGTTTCGGTCGTTGTGGGAGGCGCTGTCATGGCTTGGCATCTCTTGTCCTCCGACTCCTGGCTCAAGTGCCGCTTCCAGGAGTGCTGCAATAGGAACAGCACTCTGAACTTCACAGGTAAGGCAGTGCCGAGGGCACGGGGGCCAAGCTGGCGATCATCCGCAGGGTGGTGAGAGCTTCCTTTGGTGGGGTTGTGGAAGATGAGGGTTACCACCCACGGCGGTGGCAGAGACCAAATATATCGCTATATACAAGGCAGACTAACCTAATACTCCTTATCCCACAATAAGCTGTGTACCCTGCTTCTCCGGGCAGTACCGGAGCATTTTCCTTGCTGATTTCCAGGTTTATATTGGCAGAAATGGGCTGTGCTGGTTTATGGCACCATCAGGGTGGCAAAAACCATTACTAGACCTCATCCATGTGTATAAATACCTAAAGCAGCGGTGCCTCGCAGGTGGGTCAGGCTCTTCCCGGTGCTGCCAATGACACGAATCGACAGGCAGGGAACACAGCTTGGGAAAATACCAAAACTTTGCATTTTGGCAAACTAGCTCTGATATGCCTCACTGAAAATAGCCGGAGAGAGAAATATGTATTGTTGAGGGTGAACACCTGAAAAGTAGAAATTATGGGCCACAAGGACACTTTGTAGAAACCATGGGCCGCAAGGACACTTTGTAGAAACCATTTTATCGGAAAATAGCAAATCGTTGTCAAGTCCCTACCAGAGGAAAAAGATACTAAAAAGATTAAAATTATGGACTAATTAACATAAGAAGCGAGAAATCAATAAGTAATAGAGGGTAAAATAGTAAGTAATGGAAGAAAATTATGTCATTCAGAACCGGTGAGTAGTAATTCCGTTGCTTTTTGAAAAGGTATAAATAAGTAAAAAAACCTTTGTGTCTGTGCGGAGGCTGCAATTTGGCCGGCCGGGCCAGACTAAAGTAACGCCTTCCCCGCTAGCACTAGGAAGCCGGCACTGGAGTCGGTGAGCAGGGGACCCGGTCCCCGCCATCCTCCCCTTGCCGGGCTCCGGCATCTTTGCCCGGCACAAAGATGGCGGCGGCCGCCCCTCATGAGGCGGGGGCGCGCAGGCGCGGCGGGCGCGGCGCGCGCGCTCGGTGCCGCCATGGCGCGCTCGGTGCCGCTGCTGTGGGTGCTGCTGCTGTGGGTGCTGCTGCCGGGGCTGGCGGCGCTGGAGCCGCTCAGCGTGGGCCTGGCCATCGGCGTGGCCTCGGCGCTCACCGGCTACCTGTCCCACCCCAGGTTCTACTGCAGCTACGTGGAGTGCTGCCCCCGCGCCGGGCAGCGCCTCAACGCCAGCGGTACGGCGGGGGCGGGGGGCGGCCGCGCTGCCCCCGAGCTCGGCCGGTCACCGGGCAGCGCGGCCCGGGCCGTGCGCGGTGACCGGCGGTGCTGAGCTGTCCCTCTCCCCGCAGCGCTGAAGGCGCAGCTGGACAACCGGCTCTTCGGGCAGCACCTGGCCAAGGACGTGGTGCTGAAGGCGGTGCTGGGCTTCAGCAACAACCCGAGCCCCAAGAAGCCGCTGATGCTGTCGCTGCACGGCTGGGCCGGCACCGGCAAGAACTTCCTCAGCCAGATCCTGGCGGAGCAGGTCCACCCCGCCGGCCTGCGCAGCAAGTTCGTCCATCTCTTCCTGGCCACCCTGCACTTCCCTCACCACGACCAGGTCAAGCTCTACAAGGTGAGGAGGGGCAGGAGGTGGCCCGGTACCCCCAGTCGGTCCCTAAACCCCTGTGGGGGTGTCCCGAGCATCTCCCGCAGGTTCCCACTGGGATGAGCCCAGTTGGTCGGAGCATGATGCTGATGATGCTAAGGTTGTGAATTCGATCCCTGTATGGGCTATTCACTTAAAAATTGGACTCGATGATCCTTGTGGGTCCCTTCTAACTCAAAATATTCTGATTCATGTTTCTGGAGGTGTGCAGCTGGGAATTCCAAAGCTGATGCTTAGGAGAGATTGAAGGGGAAGTTCTTGCATAAAGTAAAAGGCACCAAAAAGCTGAGAAATCAAAGCCGAGATAGTTTCCATTTCCTAGCGCTACCCTCTCACTGATGCCATCTGCCGATTCCCGTGCTCGCTGCAAGGAGAGTTTGTCGTTCCAGCTGCATTATCCTGGCTGTCCGGGATGGAAGGAATCTTGTCCACAGCCCCCGCAGGGCCGTGTTTTGCATTTATGACTGAAACAGTGTTGATAATATTGAGAACACAGTGGTGTTTTGGCTGCTACAGTAGTGCTTGCACAGCTTCAAAGCTTGCTAGTTTTTCCCACTCATATTGAGCTGGCTGGGGTGGGCAGGAGATGAAGAGGGGGCACAGACTAAACAGCTCACCCCCGTTGGTCAAAAGGATATTCCATACCACATACTGTCACACTCAGCCATAGAAATGAGGGTTGAAGAAGGAAAAAATGGGGGAGCATTAAATTCCAAAGGGGGTGCCGCCCCAACCCCGGCCGAAAAATGGGCCGCAAGGGGTGGGGTAATTAAATTTCCTGGGTTTTTCCCCCTTCAATCAACAACCAAGGAAGGGGGGAAAACGAAAATTGAAAAGGGGGACCCAAAAACCGGCAAAAAAAAAAAACCTGCAAGAAAACCAAGAAAAAACCTGGTTTTCAAGGGCCTTCAAACCCTTGTTCCAGGAACAGCTGCAGAACTGGATTCGAGGCAATGTCAGTGCCTGTCCCTCCTCTGTCTTCATTTTTGATGAGATGGACAAAATGCATCCAGGTGTCATTGATGCCATCAAGCCCTTCTTAGACTATTATGAAGAGGTTGATGGGGTGTCCTACAGGAAAGCCATCTTCATCTTCCTCAGGTCTGTGGCACCAATTTCTGTCATTTTGAGATACTGAATATTTGTTTATGGTGATAATGATACTTCCTGGGGACCTCATTCAAAGAGCAGCAAAAAAATGCTCTGGAGGGAAGATTCTCTGTGCAAAGACAGTGAGGAGCAATCTGAGCTTGTGCCTGTGGCTGTAGTGGACCAGGTCTGATGCTATGCATGGCCACTGCAACGTGCTGAACTCATAAAGCTGGCCCAGAGCAGAGGACATAAGAGAGTTCACATTTTGGGATGGGTGTACCAAGTACTGGACCTTGCTGGCACCCTTCAGAGCAGCTGGTCTGGTGCTGTCTGGGATTTGTGGCTCTGAGAGTGTTGATAACACACCAATGTTTTGCCTGTTTCTGGATGATGTTTGCAAAACTTCAAGGCTTTTCCTACACTAGGCTGGGGTGGGCAAGAGGATAGGAGGGACACAGCTGGGACAGCTGATTTAAAGTGCCCAGGAGGATATTTAATACTGTGGCATGCCATACTCAGCAATAAAAACAGCAGTGGAGAAAAACGTGGGGTTTCATCTCTAAGGTGACGGTTCTTCAGCATTTGCCTGGGCATTGTTCTGACTGTGGGAGTAGTGAATGATTTCCTCAGTCCTCCTTGGGTTCTTTCTCTCCTATTAAACTATCCTTATCTTGATCCACAAGCTTTCAGTCTTTTATTCTTCCTATTTTCTCTTTCCATCCCACTGAGGCAGGAGGGAGTAAGCAAGTGGCTGCTTGGCTGCTTATTGGGGCAACCCACCACACACTGATGGCTACTTAAAGAACTGGAGACTTTACCTAGATTTTGACTTACAGGATTCTTTTTGATTATTTGTTTGATATCAAGGAGGTTAGCAATATGTGTAACCGGCTGCAAAAGAAATTCTGCTTCACTCGTGTCTGTATTTCACCACTGTATGTTTTTCTTTTATGATCAGCAATGCAGGTGGTGATTTAATTAACAAAGCAGCTCTCGACTTCTGGGCAAGTGGAAAGCGCAGGGAAGATATTCAGCTGAAAGACCTGGAGCCCTTGCTCTCTGTAGGAGTCTTCAACAACAAGAATAGTAAGTCACTTTCCCCCCAAAAATGGGAAGTTCATTCCTCACTGTCTGAGACAAACAGCTCTGTGAATCTGGCCTGGCTTGTGGATCCTGTCATATGCAGTTTAGAAAAACTCCTTCTTATGATTTTTTTTCCCCCAATTTATCCAGGTGGGCTGTGGCACAGCAGCATCATTGACAGGAACCTTATTGACTACTTTGTCCCTTTCCTGCCCCTGGAGCAAAGGCACGTGAAGATGTGTGTCAGGGCCGAAATGGCAGCCCGTGGCTATGCTGTGGATGAGAAGATTGTTCAGGAAGTGGCTGATGAGATGACCTACTTCCCCAAGGAGCAGAGGATCTACTCTGATAAAGGCTGCAAGACTGTTCAGGCCAAGCTGGATATTCATGAAGACGTTGTGATGAGAGATACGAACGCCAGGGGTTGATTTCCACTTTGAGTCTCCACAGCACTTTCAGAGCTTTTGGAAATCTGTGTATTTGCACTTAAACTTTTTTACTGTTGCAGGGAGTATGGTGAAAATACCAGAGTGAGCTGTGTGGGCTTTTTTAGCTTGTGTGTTTGGTTGTTTGTTTTTTATTTTTCTTTTTAACTTAACATAGAATTGGGACTTAGAGATCATCTAGTGACATCCCCTGCTGTGGGCAGGGACACTTTCCACTGAATCAGGTCACTCATAGTCCCATCCAGCCTGTTAATCTCTGAACTGGCTGGTATCCCAATGTTGCCCCCTTTAACTTTCTTTTAGTCTATAAAGAATTTCTAGTGTGACACACAGCACTGGATACAGCCCTCCTGCTTTATTCTTCCAAGTGCTGGGATTATTAAGTATTTAATTCCTCTCTCCACATAAACTAGATTGGAACAAAGGCAAACAGAGGAATTTTGCCAGATAGTCATATTCCGTTCCATGTACACAGTCCTGTTCATATTCACAGTGAAATGGAGGGATGTGTGCTGTATTCTGAACTGTGATCATGTCTGTAAGGGTGAACTCCGTGGTACATTGCAGTAAGGATATGGTAGAAATCTTCCTGTGCCTCAGCTGGGCACATCCTACATCTCCTAGTACAGTAATATGGGAAGTCATGAGCTCCTAGAAATCTGTTACTTCCTCTTCCCTGCCCTCTCTCTATTATTTAGTAAGAGCTTGCCCCATGTTTCTTTGGGGGAAAAATAAATTATTAAAGTATTCTTTAAAGGGGCTAAGTAAATTTGTGACTCCAGGTCTTTCTAAACTGAGGGACCCATCTGAGAGAGCTGTTACAACACTAGGCCAGTCTTTTGTACTTAAGCAGAAAAATCTCTCCTGAGAATTCAACTGTTTTAGTTTGTCAGATTAATCTGTGTGGGCTCCTGGGCCTGAAGTCTGTAAGGTCTTTAGTAGTTCTGCTGCTCCTACTGGTCAAGGTGTAGATAATGCTACTCTCGTTTTGCTTGGAAGACATTTGAATGGAAGAAATTATTTTTAATAGTGTATTTTTATGCTGAAGTGTAAGCAACAAGAAGAAGCCTATACCTCACTAGTTAGGTCTGTTTTATAAAAGAATGCCTGTGTGAAAGGGTGAATGATGAGTTAAGAAGCTGGGAAAGATCCATTTAACCTTCACCCAGTGGAGCTGTTGCAAGCTTTAACTCCTAGTCTCCCATCACTTGTGCATCAAATGTTGTAATGCAAGACAGAAGTGCCTTTCACTTCATTGATTGTACTGTGGTTTTAAATTGGTACAAGGGATGGGACTGTTTTTGTGCTGCATCATCTATTCCCTCACTTGTTCTTAAACTTCCTTTAAGAGGTAATGCTAATTATAGGTCTAATTACAATTATGTTAATTCAAATTACAACAGAGAGTTTAGCGCTCTTGTTAAGCTCTAAATTAGAAGTGTTGATTGCCTTTTACAGCCCCACTGGAGTTTGTCAAACCTTGGCAAACTGCTCACACTGATGCAATCTCCAGAGCCAAACACTAGCAAGCCATTAACCTTGGGACATTGGACTGTCACTTTTCAGTGTGATGTTTTCCCTAATAACTGATTTATTCGTAGTTGTATATGCTGCATCCAGTTTCACTTCAAAAAGAAAATAGTTGTGCTATTTCAAAACACTAAATACTACTGTACTGCAGTTGGAATAAATCCTAGATTACTTCTTCTCTCTTGGTTAATAATTTTTGAATACTGGAAAGTACTAGAAAGCTGCACTGCACGTTTCTGTTACAGTTCCTTTGTAAGTGTGGGGCAGCTGTTGGCAGCAGCTCACACCTCACTGAAGGGTCAGTTGTGAACGTGTTGTGCTCCAAGGATGCACCAGAAGATGTCAGGGAGCTGCCTGGGAAGCACAGGCTGTGCTGTTCACTTGGACTTTGCCACTCATGGGACAGTTCAGCTGCTTGTCCCTCCCTGGGCACCCCAGGCTCTGGGGCCAGGCTGCCTCTGGCTGGCAGGACAGCAGCACTTCCTATTTTAGTGGATTTAAACCATGGCCTCTGATAATACCAGCAGTGTGAGATCTCAGAATACTCCCTGCAAAAAGTTGCACTAAAGCAGCAGCTGCTTGTCCTGGACTCTGGCAAGAACAGAATTCACTCTTGGGACTGCTCAGCTCCTCTCACCTGGCCAATGGACTGTTTCTCTGGGCAGCAGACCTTTCCCCCATGACGCTTCCCTTTAAGTTGTCTGATCCAGCCTTAATTGGCCTATTAAATAGAATAATGGCCAAAGTTACCCAGTCATAGCAAGAAGGTGTGAGAACATTAGCTCTGAAACCATACAGGGAAGGATTAACAACAGGATCAGAATGATTGTGATTTCAGGCCTGTGTCTTTTACCCAGATGGAGCTGCTCCTGGCCAGGTCTACAGAACCAAAGAGATATTAAACAGAGGCAGCCTCCACCCTTTCCACATTATTCTTGCTCTCCAGAGAAAGCTTCTGTCTACCCTGGGCCATTCAGGGCTGTGAGAAATACTGGCTAACAATGTATATCAAATACTTGTAGTGATGCTGCACTGACACACAAAGCAGAACTAAGTTCTGGAAAAGCCACAAGACAGAGTGGTTGTACTGATTCTCTTGGTACCAGAGTGTAGTACAAGCTTATCATCATTACATGTTTTTTCCCATTAGCCAGTTATTTGCTATAATCAGGAAGTCAAAGAGACAGAAAAATACCTGAGTTCAAAGCACTCATTTGCTGACAAATAGTAGGATTGATAATTTGCATGTCACACACCTTCAGCACAAGGACAGTTGGAGCCTCACTGGCCCTTTTATCTCCAGCTCCTTGCAGAGAAAACTCCAAGATGCTGGCACTGAAAAGATGGGTGATTTCAAGCAGAGCCTGTGGTGGTACCACAGTGGCAGGAGATAAGCAGCAGGGTTCTAACTGGTCTCTACAGGACAAGTTCATCCTTATTGAGTACACATGCATCTAGAAGTCTGCCTCTACAAAAACCACGTGGCTGTAATTAGTATAAACAGTCCAGAAGTGCAGTTTCCACTCCAAGCTTGATTTCTTTCACCATATAGCAGAGTCACATCTATCTCTGCCCTTTGAACTGCAGAAGGGAAATACCTGCATTCAAACACAGCTGGAACAGCCAGGAACGCAGTGTGCTCTTCCTCAACATGGAGTAAATTTGTGCAAAATTAGTATCAAACCACTGAATGCAAAGAACACCAGAAGGTAGCTAAGAAATACATTTCTGATGAGAAAAGTTTATTTTGAACAGCAACTGGAATGTAAAAAGCCTCCGCAGTGCTCACATTCAGAAACAAGTCTGACACCCTTCACAGTAACTTCAGTGGACACAATTTATGGGTTATTTTTTTTTTCAAATGCCTTTAGATCTGCCTACATCTCTGCCTCAAAGGCACACAGTATGGTGAGAAGATGAATAAGGGAAACCCCTGCAAGCTGACCCCTGAATTCAGCATTTAAGTGATGAAGAGAAAACTTTTTTCAATTTCCATGGTGTAAAATTTAATCTGTACACATTTCCCATGACGTTGCAGCCTTTCCCTGAGGCTGACTCACCACTCCCAGAGCACAGTTCTCCCTCCTGAGATCACTGCTGGGAGAGCCTGCTGTGGGCAACATAAAGACTAACCTAAAATAGGAACTAAGCACACCAGTGTGGCATTTAATGATTTTAACTCACTTCCTTGTGATATTAAGTCTGCTCTCTGAATGCTATTCACAACAGCATTTTCTATTCTTGGTTTGACACATAGGAGACTAAACTACACATCAGTTTTGAAAGACAATGGCACTTATGATGTTGGATAGAAGAGCCCAGATTTTTAAATTCCAGAATCCCCCCTTATCTTCACTGGGCCCAAGCTGTTGAAGGCAAAAAGACACATGTTCTATTTTTAATGCATATTCCCACACAGGACCAATGAAGGCTTTCAGAGACACAGGAACTTTGATTAAAATTCTCAATATTGTCTAGAGATCATCGAGATCAGAACAAAATCAAATTAAAATTAGGTTATAGTCTCAGTCCTTCTATACCTGTCAAGAGTCTGCCAAAGGGCTCTGATGATCACCACATGATTCAAGAGTCTTCAGCCCTGCCAGATCCAGGAATTCCCAAAGCAGTTCCTTCTTGCCTTCACAGCACAATACTGAAGCACTTGAGAGCTGTGATGGTTTCAAAAATGCAGAGGCACTGCTGCTTATTTACACACCAGTTAAAAAATAGTGTTCCTTTCTTTAAAAAGTACTTAAAAATGAAATGTCTCAGGTCCACCACTTTGTGATTAAGTTAAATTTGCTTCTTTGCAGGTTGTAGCACTAAAGCATTAGAAGTCATAATAATAATCCAGCTTTGCATCCACAGTTTTACATCCTTTATCTGAATAGATTCTCTCCTCTCTGGGGAAGTAGGTCATCTCGTCAGCTATCCTGCTCACAATGTCTTCATCCACAGCGTAGCCACGCGACTCAATCTCAACCCTGACACACATTTTCACGTGTTTGTACTCCAGAGGCAGGAAAGGAATGAAGTAGTCAATGAGGTTTCTGTCAATCAAGGTGCTGTGCCAAAATCCACCTGTGAAGGGAAAGAGGTTTGTTAGTATTTCTCTAGTTAAACACTACCATGGGGTTGAATGGGAGCAAGGGGCAATGGGATCACAGCTAAGAATTCACCTAGGATTTTAGGGCACTATAATGCACAAGTCAATACAATCCCCCTCTCATCTTACTTTGTGCATAAAATTTTGGACAGATACATAAATGTGGTCCTTAAGGCTGAATGAATGAATTTAGACTGTGCTTGAGCCTTGCTCTCCAGGTGTTGCTATCATACCTTCCCCTCTCTCACCTAGAGAGGGACAGATTTTCTCTCTTATCAGTTCTCCCAGACCAGATTTCTTACTCCTTTTTTTTTGGAGCTTGTATCTAAACTTTTTAAGAAGTACAGCGAGTTTCCTTCCAATGCTAACTTCAGAGCATAATTATGTTAAAAGCCCTTTTCACCAGAAGTCCTGTGTGAGGAAACACTATGAAGGACTATGAAGCATTTCCCCCAAAACATGTGGTCCAACAGGCAGCAAACAGGCTGGTAGCCAAGGTGCACAGAGCTCCTGAATCTTCACCCATCCTGCGAGCCGACTGCAGGCCCCAAAACTGCATTTTTGCTCCTTATAAGCCAAAAACTGGAGGCCACATCGAGAAGAAACCATAGCTTGTAAAAATGCAGCTAAAATGCAGCCCATCCCTTTTATGTAACTTTTACCACCTCAAAAGCAATCCCAGTTTTACTCACTATTTTTGTTGTTGAAGACAGACACAGAGAGTGCATTTTGGATATCTGTGAGCTGAATATCTTCCCTTGTCCTCCCATTTCTCCAGAAATCTAGTGCTACCTCTGTTATCTTTTCAGCTCCTGCATTGCTAAGTAAAGAGAAAATAGAGATTGCAGCTTGGGGTAGTTTTAAAAGTTGAAGTTATGAAGTAAAAGCATGGCGTGTACAGAACAGCAACCCTGAGAAGCCACTGTTTACCTGAGGAAGATGAAGATGGCTTGTCTGTAGGACACCCCATCCAGCAGCTCATAGTAGTCCAGGAAGGGCTTGATTGAGTCAATGAGCCCTGCGTGCATTTTATCCATTTCATCAAATATGAAGAGTGACCGGGGACAGATGCTCACATTTCCCCGAATCCACGACTGCAGCTGGTCCTGAGTGCCACAAAAGTGAAAGATGCTGAGTTTGTGTTGAAAAGACAGAAAAAAATAGCACTTTCTGTTTATGGAACCTTGTCCTGAAGTTCTTTCAGTGATGTAATTTTAATAGTTCTGGCTTCTTGACTAAAACATGGTTACAAGCTGTAAATGAAACCTCAACAAAATCTCATGCTGGTTCTGAAAAAAATTAAGACACCAAGAGAAAGGATGGGAGAAGCAGAAATTCTCCTAGACATTCCTATGAAAAGCAAAAATGAAAGTGCACAGTAGGACAAAAAATGGGTCCCACCAAGGGACAGCCACAAAAAGCCAAACTCTGACAAGTCAGATGATAGCTTCTGGCAGCACTTTGGTCTAAACAACATTAATATAACCAATATTACATTTGCTACCTGGCAGGAGGAATGAGAAATTGCACCTGCTGACACTGGCAGAAGGAGAAACAAAATTTAACTCTGTGTTTTAATCAATCAGAAGTTAAATGAAGACAATTACAAGTCCTTCTTAAAACATTATTGTCCAGAAAGGCTAATAATGGCTTTATTGCATTGAAAGAGTCTCTCACTTAAGCACTGCATTTTCACCTTGAGTATTACATTCAAGATCTATAATGCATTAACTGGGAGAAAAAGGCTTGTGGTGGTAGATGAATGAGAAATAAATGTTCTATTTTCAGTGATTCATCACTTTTTAATTTATTCTACTCAGTCCCTGAACTGTAGGTGTATTAGGGATAAGCAGCAATACTTCCTCCCACTGCCTTGGGCAGCAAATTTTCCAAGTATATTCATCTCACAACAAATACAGAAAAACATCATTCTATTTCAAAATGGCTCAGTTAAAAGAAGGGGAAATAAGCTGTAAAAGAGAAATAGTCCATTTCCTCCATTTAGAAATCCGGTTTGTAGACCATTATATTGCCATTTTAACAGATACAGACTGAATATCAACATGCAGTATAC